ACAACATCCTTATATAATAGTCATTCACTATAAAAGTTGAGTTTTTCTCGGAACCTATTATTATATTATGTTATAATATATATCCTCTATAACAACACTTCACTATAACAGTAAAAAAAAATTGGAACAAACGAAGTTGTGAATTATAGAAAGGTTTGATTGTACTCCTATTCAAGGATGTCGAGAGACAAAACTCAAACTTATCTTCTACAACTAATTGCAAGTACTTCTGTGATGGTTTCTTCACATTCTCACTTACTTGCTTTGTCACTACAGAAGGCAATTTTCTCAGAAGAAACAAAGAACGAAAGCATGCAATAAGAGGCAGAGGCAGAATTTGAAGTTTATGGGTTTGGGAATCTAGTACGTTTAAGTTACTGGATGGTAAATTAATAATTTACACATATTCAATAGATTTTCTTAAGACAAATATAAGATTTGTATTAAAGTTACTAGGTTTGACCAAACCCGAAACTTGTATTCTAGCTTCGCCCCTGCCTGCAATCGGACCTATTGTTGTTGATAAGTAGCATTGAGAAGCCTAACAATATGCCACTCAGATATATTATAGTGGCACCATAACATAATGCATTTCGGAGGGAGGAGCAATATAATACCACTATAATATTACAACTTTATAGTATCAAGAGACTACTACAATTTTGGAAGAAATAACACTATTTATTTTAAACACTTCATTACAATATTACTCACACTCACTAATTATCTCACACACTATAATTTGTGGATTACTCTCTCTAACTTCTATTGTTTTTCTCTGTTTTTGGTGTGTTTGAGATAGAATGAGAGACTCCCTTTTATAGGGAAAGTTGCCGCCCCAAACAGCCAATGAAATTTGGCCTTTGCAATTGCAAATGCAAATTGCTCACAACCAATGTTTTAAAAGGCGTGAGCATACGGCGAGGCGTTTTACATATGCCTCAGCGAGGTGTAAGCCCCGAGGCACGGGGCGTAAGCCCCATAGATATTTAATTTTTAATATTTTATAAAATAATATAATTACAGTAAATATTTATAAACATGTAAAATTGCATAAAAATGAAGAACACTATAAATATGTGAATATATATATAGATGTGCTTCATCCCCACAAAAGACTAGTCAAAATAATCTATTATACGTTACTTAGAAGCTCAAGTAACTTAAGTCAAAAAGAATAAAGTTTTCTACATGTAGGAACAAAAAGGATGACTAACTTTCAATTTGAACTATGAACTTGGTGCTATGAAGTAGAATGGAGTTCTTTTTATATTTGTAAAAAATAAATTGAATATTCGTTGCTTTTGGGAGATATTAGCAGACTAGCAGAAAAGATAAAGAATTGGGAAAGACCATGAATTGGGGCTTCAATCAATAAAAAAGGTCTTTACTTTTAAATTTAATACATTTCAGTTCCTTTTTAAAACTTTTGAGTAATTACCGAGCTGCATTTTGAAAATTTGGGTATTATATGAAAGACTTATTCAACAAATTTTGTTTTAATTTGAAATAATCTTTGGGGCTTACGCCTCACTAAAAGAACTCGCCTCAAACGCCCGGGCATACGCCCCGAACGCCCAGGCGTACGGCCCAAATTGTTGGGCGTACGCTTCTTGAGACTTTCGCCTTACACCATCACCTCGGTGCGTTTTTGGTGCGCCTCGCCCAGGCGTTATTGTTTTCCTTTTTTTCTAAAAGTAGACGTCCATGGGAGATAGACGTGTCTGGTGTTATTTTTTACGTATTAATTAAGTACTTTTTCTTTTTATTTCTTTTTTGTTTGATTTATTCTTTCAAAATTTTCACACATTGAAATTTCTATTCTTTTTTTGTCTCTGTAAAATCTTATATGATTAAACAAAATGTGTACATTAAAACTAGTAGCAGTGTATGATATAGCATATAGTCAATGGATTCAACTGATCTCAATATTTTCAATATGGAAAATAGATATAGATATAAGAAAATTACTTTTTTTTAAAAATTAAACTTATAATTCCAAAAGTGCAATGGGTACGCAATCGTAAGAACTAAAAGTTGAACCCGAAAAATTTATTTTCTGGATCCACCTCTTCTTAATAGTGTACTCATCCTATCAAAATCCTGGATCCGCCTCTGTTTAACTCGTAATTGTCCTGAAGCATTGCCCTTTGAGCTTTCAGTTTGGCCCTGTAACTAACAACTGTTTCACCTCACTAAACCCTAGCTCTTCCTCGTATTCTTGACAGATATCAATATATGCCAGTAGGTCAGCATCACACCTTTTCCACATGTGTCAGTTTTTTAATATAGACCAATTGAGGTTCTCGGACCCAAATACCCCCATAATTAAAAATCAAGTCCACGTTTTCTTGTATTCTTCAGAGCCAGCACATGCAAGCCATTTTCGGAGATTTGAAGTCTGAGTAGAAGCCCAAGCAATTAAGCCGAGATTATGTTCGGGGGTCGAAAACCAAGCCTGGATGTCAAAAATTTGAAAAAGTAATTTCTGGCCACAATTTGCACTACCGCCCCGCGGCATACCCCGCGGGGCGCTAGTGCAAAAAGTGTCCAGAAATTATATTTTGGCACGTTCTGAAATTTCCTACATGCGCGCCGCATGGGGCGGGGCGGCATGCGGCGCGGTAGCCCAAAAATGTTAGTGACTTCCCAATTCCGCTAAAAAGGGTAATTTCGCTCGGGGATTATTGGGGTATGGCTTAAATACACGGGAATACACCATTTTCGGGACTTTTGACACATTTTCGACCTAAGGAGGAGTTGGAAGAACACAAACACAAGGATTTCATCATTCCTTCCTCACTCAAGATCCGAGTTTGGATAGAATTTATATTTTCCTATACTTTAGTTACATTTGTGAAGAACTTGTCCATGTCTATGGAGTAGATCCTTTTGGGTTTTGATGAATATGGCGTATTGATGATTGTTTGTGGATTATAACTCTATTTTTATGTATTTGAATTAATTTTGGAAGATTTAATTGTTGCATCTATATTCACTTGTTCTTGTAATCGAAAGAGGCATAACTTGTGATATCTTTGCATTATATTGTTGGTTGAGTTCATAGATTCTTCTAAGTAATCGAAAGAGGCTAGTTGAATCATTGATTAAATTTAGTTAGGAGAATAATCGAAAGAGGTTTTTCTAAAGACCGACCCACTACGCATTCTTGCATACCTTTACAGTGCTTAAATTGGTTCATCTCTTGAGGTTAAGACTTAATCGAGAGAGAAGTTTTTGCTAAACGTTTGAACTAATAATAGAGTGAATTCGAGAGACTCACTTGAAAATTGGAAGTGCATTATCTAGAGTTAGATCCCGTACAATTATCTTGCACTTATTCTATCAAAATCATATCCTCTTCCACTGATAACCTTAATTGTTTATTCCTTGTTTCGATAGTCACTAGTCAATAGCTGTAGATTTTAGATTCTTAGTTAAATTTTATTATTAATTATATAAATCTCAACTGTCGATCCTCCTGGATAGCAATCAAGCTAGAAACTACGAGAATACTATTTAAATCAAATCCTTGTAGACACGATATTATACTATACTATCTTTGACTAGCGAGCACAATTTAAGTGTGTATGTTGCGCCCATCAAAGGTGTAGAATTTAAGGTGGATATGCTGGTGATGCCCTTGGGTGGTGCGGATGTAGTATTGGGGATTCAGTGGTTGGTAACTCTGGGGATATAAGGTGGAACTTTAAAAAAAATAAAGATGGAGTTCGAAATTGGAGGGAAGAAGGTTTCATTGAGTGGTAATCAACCTGGGGGAACAAGGGTGATTGATAATCAGAAAATGGATAAGCTACTGCACAGGTCTGTTGATTTGAGCATGATATTAGTTTCCCATGCGCAGCATATGAGCCCAAACAGTACCGTCCTTCAATTACAACAAGTCAAGGCTCCTGATGATTTACAGAATTTGTTGAATCAATACTCAACCTTATTTGAGACCCTACCACTCTACCTCCTCATAGAGCTCAAGACCACATGATCATTTTGAAGGAAGGAGTAGCACCAGTGAATGTATGACCTTACAGATACCCAATAAGCCAGAAAAATGAGATTGAAAAAATGATCCAAGAAATGTTGGATGCAGGAGTTGTGAGCCTGTAATTACCTGCTCTTCTCCTATTGGTATGGTCAAAACGAAATATGGAACTCGGCGATTATGCATCGACTATAGGCAACTAAACAGTCACACGGTTAAAGATAAATTTTCAATTCCGGTCATTGAAGAACTACTCGATGAATTGGGGGGTTCTAAATATTTTTCTAAATTGGATTTTAGATCGGGTTACCACCAAATTAGAATGGATGAAAGGGTCATTGAGAAGATAAAGTTTAGATCTCATAATGGTCACTACGAGTTTGTGGTCATGCCTTTTGGAAATACAAATGTACACTTGGTGTATAGTTCGTCATGGGCAGACCACTTGTTGCACTTAAAGGAAGCTTTTGAAGTTCTGAAGAACAATTGTTTGTTTGTTAAGATGAGTAAGTGTCAGTTTGGGCAAATTGAAGTAGAATACTTGGGACATGTAATCAATTAGAAATGAGTAGTAGCTGATCCTGGTAAAATCAAGACTATGGTGGACTGGCCTCTATCCAAAACAGTGAAAGAACTAAGGGGATTCCTTGGTTTAACTAGGTACTACAAGAGATTTGTTCAAGGATATGGAATAATTGCCAAACCATTAACAGAATTACTCAAGAAGATATCTTTATATGGTCTGAGATGGATACAACCACCTTTGAGAAGCTGAAGGGAGCAATGACTACAGCCCATATTTTAGCTCTTCCTGACTTTGCTATAGAGTTTGTAATCGAAACTGATGCATGTGGCAATGGCATTAGAGCAGTTTTGATGCAAAAGAAACATCATCTGGCATATATGAGTACAGCCTTAAGCATTAGACATGAGCAATTATCTGTGTATGAAAAAGAAATGACGGTCATTGTAGTAGCCATGCAGAAATGGAGATCGTATCTGATTGGGAAACATTTTACTATCAAGACTGATCATCAAAGTCTAAAATATCTTATACAGCAAAGAATTTCCACTCCTAGTCAACAGAAATGGTTAGCCAAGTTAATGGTGTATGATTACACTATCACATACAAGAAGGGACAAGACAATTTAGTTGCAGATGCCTTGTCTAGATTACTTACAACAAAAGTTCAGCTACACACCATATCCCATGTCTCTTCTGACTTTGTTGAGAGGATCAGAACTTCCTATGTTGCTGATGCGCACCTCCAACAACTCATGTAGCAACTACAACAGAATCCCATGATAAACCCCATCTATTTGTTGAGGGATGGGGTGCTTTATAGGAAGGGAAGGATAGTGGCTGGTGCAGATAAAGAATTGAGAAAGGAAATACTACAACAATTACATGATGGAGCAGTAAGGGGTCATTGTGGTATGACTGCAACCTTGAAAAAGGTCAGCCAAGTGTATTACTGGAGAAAGCTGAAGGTAGATGTGTTTGACCATGTCAAAAGATGTGAAATATGCCAGAATTGCAAAGGTGAACATGTGAAGAGTCCTGAATTGTTACAACCACTGCCAATTCCTGAGAAGGTATGGCAGGATATCAGCATTGATTTTATAGAAGGGCTACAAAAATCACACGGCATATCAGTAGTTATGGTAGTAGCGGAAAGGCTGAGCAAATATGCCCATTTCATTTGTTTGAAACATCCTTACATTGCAGCTTGTCGCACGGGCATGCTTGGAGAAGATATAAAAATTGCATGGTCTGCCTCAGACCATCGTGAGTGACAGAGATGTGGTGTTTATGAGCAAATTTTGGCAGTCTTTGTTTGATGTTCACGGTGTCCAGCTGCACCACTCAACTGCTTATCTTCCACAATCTGACGGCTAAACTGAAGCTGTAAACAAATGCTTAGAAAGGTATCTCAGATGTATGTGCAATGACAGGCCTAAAGACTTAATTCATTAGGTATCTTCAGCAGAGTGGTGGTATAATACTATCTGCCATTTTGCCACCAAGTTAACTCCCTTTGAAATTCTGTATGGTCATAAAACCCCAGTTCACATGCCTTATATTCCCTACAACTCTATGATGGACGAAGTTGAGAGGAGTTTGCAAGCTAGAGAAAGCACTATTAGGCTTCTGAAGCATCACCTAACAGTCGCTCAGTCCGGGATGAAGGCACAGGCTGATAAGAAGAGGTCTTTCATAGAATTTGCAGTTGGTGATATGGTGTATGCAAGGTTGCAATCTTATAGACAAATGTCACTGAAGGTCCATTCCTACTACAAGCTCAACCCCAAGTACTTTGGCCCATTCCCAATTCTCAAAAGAGTTGGTTCTGTTGCTTATCAATTGCAGCTACATACCTCTGCCAAAATTCACTCTACATTTCATGTTTCTCAACTCAAGAAACACATTGGTGATGCTCCAGTAGTGTCAGACTTTCCAGTTACTTTGTCTTCTCATGGACATGTTATATTGGAACCAGAGGAGATTTTGGAGACCAGGAAGATCATGAAACACAACATGTAGATCACTCAGTTGTTAGTCAAGTGATTTAATTGTCCCAATGAGGATAGCACTAAGTTAGATGCTCATTCTTTTAAACAACAGTTTCCTTCTTTTGTCCTTGAGGACGAGGACTTTTGAGTAAGGGAGATCTTGTTATGTACCAATATGATAAGGGGATACAATAGCCAATTGTATAGAGATAGTAAGGGCAGTTCAGTCATTACACAGTAAAGTTAGTTATACTGTTAGGAGTCATTAGAGAAGTTGTTAGTCGTTTATTAGCCGAGGATTAGTGGAAGATTAAAAGGGGAATCAATTGTAAAGGGGAATATACCTTTTGATTGATAATAAACTCTTATCTCTTCTCTCTTCAAATCTTATACTCTATTTTCCATAGCTGTAGCATCGTTCAGGAACTATCCTTCTCATTTTAGTTCCTTAGGGCTATAGTATTGTGCTCAATTGATTTAGCAAATACCAATTTGATATCAGAGCCACCTTACCTTGGCCGGAAACCATGCCGGACACGACAAGAAATGGGGAACTCCGTCGGGAGGTGGAAGAAATCGGGGAACAAGTTCGAATCTTAGGCAAGCGGCATGATAACGCACATACCAAAGTGCTCCCTACCAAGGATTTTTCCATATGTCTTCACATGCGTTATTATCATTAAACCGTAGTTGATTAATGCACATTAGTGTAATTCTACAAGTGGGTCTGGGGAGAATAGTGTGCATGCCGATTTTATCCATATCTTTTGGAGATAAAGAGGTTGTTTTGGATAAACCCTCAAAGTAGCTTTTCAAAGATTTCAATATGTGCGTAGGGCCAACAGATCTTGTGCTTGACTGGATTATATTAACTTCTCTTTTAAGGCAGCAGTTACCTTATCTTGCCTTTTTTTCATCTTATCTTGAGGTGTAAAGGCAGATCTGTAGGCCATTTTATGCTGACTTTATGTTGACCACACCACGTACGCATAACAAATGTTTTGAAATTGTTGAGTAATGCTTTGTAATTTGACCAACTTTTGCCTTTGGATGACAATAACTTAAAGAATCTAAAGAAACAAAAAGTATTTAGAGATGAACTTTATGCACAAAAAATAAGTATATTTTCGGTTGCATTTTCATACGATTCTTTCGGCATAATTAATAAGCTACTTTAAAAGTATTTTTATTATTTTGCCATGTGTTTGGATTTGTTTTTTCGAATTATGTGTTATCCAACTAGCTAGTTGGTCAAACTTTTATTGAATGTGTAGGTTACTCAAAACTTAAAATAATATGAAATCAACCTCTATTATGTACAAAACGAGAATAGAGAAACATAAGTGTCATAGGAGATAGTTATTAATTCATAATTTAGTGGATCTTATAATTATTTATTTTGACTATGGAGGCTTGGGAATGAGTCCCGTGCTCTCTTATGTCACTACTTGCCAGATATATACACGTAAACATGCATAACTAATATGAGTTCTGATAGAGTGGTAAGTACTTTTTTATTTTTAAATTGGAGGTCGAGTTTTGGGTGTGAAATCGCATTTGTTAAAGAGTACTTTATTTCCAAATATCATACCTTCTGGTGAAAATTTAAATTTTAATCGAACCTCAATATGAATATCGAACATCGTGTAGGAAATAATATAGAGAGAGAGTCATGCTCCAATACAAATATTGATTGAGTTGAAGTTGCAGTCTAATTATTGCAATTTTATTGTGTTGTTAACATTTTACTAAGAATATTACAACAAACTTGTTTTCTTTGGGAGAGACAACCCCGTCATTTTCAAATTGTCTCCTTTTCATCATTACATTTAAAGCTCATAGATGATAGATGCATCATTTTTTATTCAATAATGTATTATCGTCTTTCTTTTTTTTGTTCATTTCTCGTCTCAATGGATTAAAAAAAAATCAAGAAATGAACAATATAAAAAGCGGAAGTTACACAATTGATAGAATCAGAGGTGGACCTAGGATTTAAAGTGTATGGGTTCAAAATTTTAAAATAGGACAATGACCCAAAACTAAAATACAATAACAAGCAGACTAAAGAATAGATACCGATATTTATTATACATTTAAGAAGTAGCGAACCAGACAAACATAATATATGAATATAAACATTATTATTTCAATTGCACTCGATATTTATTATACATTTAAGAAGTAGCGAACCAGACAAACATAATATATGAATATAAATATTATTATTTCAATTGCACTCGACGACCTATCATGTTCTGAAAACGATCAATAACAAGCATCATTAGTTGTTCAGGCTCAACAGAGATTAATGTATCATTTCATGTTGTTTTTTCCTTTTTGAATTTCTTGGCCACCTTTACTGTAAGTTTGTGGCCTATTAGAAATATGCTGCCTATGAAGATATATTGATACACAAATATGCAAATTAGAAAGAAAACTGTATCCAGCTTGCCATGGATATGTTAATTGGTCAGCTACTCAAGCTACTTTAGTTTTCTTTTTATATTGTGCCATCTACTAATTTACCCGATAGCTAATTTTAGATGCTAACAAAGCCAAAGCCAATTACTTTATCAACCAAAAAAAAAAAAATGACAACAATCAATTAAAAAACAAAGATTGATAATCTGAAAATCTCTAAATGCACTATTTTATTGAGGATTATCCTCGCTAAGAAACTAAAAACAAGAAAGTAGGACTACATACCTTGTCGACTTGTTGGGGCTTGGCCTTTGAAATTTTGGAGAGCACAAAAACAAAAATTGCAAACAGAATAGAGGTCGAAATGTGAGACACCCCTAAAATCAAAGATTAAAAATTATATTTTGTATGAATTGTTTTACAAAATATATAAAATATAATAGGAAAAAAAACAGAAAAGAAGAAGGAAGAAGTAGAAAGAGTATACACCAAAAAAAGAAGAAGGAAGAAGCACTAGCGGTGGAGGCAATAATCAGCAATTGGGGCAAAACCCTAAGTTTGTTTGATTTGCGCGCAGTTGAAATGAATTGTGAAGTAAACATGTCTGTTTATTTTGTTTTAGATATGCGTTTTCCTTAAATTTGATTTGTGTTTTTCTTTATTATAAAAAAAGGAAAAAGGTAATTCTAAAGCCTGAAGGAGACATACGTACTTTGTCGTTTCTTCTATTGCTTATTTAGTTTTTTTTTTTAAAACAATTTTTTTTTTTAAAAACAAAATTTTAACAAAATTCTGGGTTGCTTTCCAGAGGAATAGAACCCAAATGTTTCCCGGATGAACCCAAAACCTTAGCCACTGAACCGTGATCTTTTTTGGTGCTGGATTCGGCGTACTATATTTATATAGTAATAATAAATTTTTCAACACAAATATAGGGTCCGTGAAAAAGTCACTGGGTTCGCCCGAACCACATACTCTACTGTAGCTCCGCCCCTGAATAGGATATGTACAGTCAAATATTTATATGACAATATCCCTATATAATAGTCATTCACTATAAAAGGTGAGTTTTTCTCGGAACCTATCATTATATTATGTTATAATATATGTCCTCTATAACAACACTTCACTATAACAGTCAAAACAAATTCGGAACAAACGAAGTTGTTAATTATAGAAAGGTTTGACTGTACTCCTATTCAAGGATGTCGAGACGCAAAACTCAAACTTATCTTCTACAACTAATTGCAAGTACTTCTGTGATGGTTTCTTCACATTCTCACTTACTTGCTTTGTCAGTACATAAGGCAATTTTCTCAGAAGAAACAAAGAGCGAAAGCATGCAATAAGAGGCAGAGTCAGAATTTGAAGTTTATAGGTTTGAGAATCTAGTACGTTTAAGTTATTGGGTTGTAAATTAAAAATTTGCACATATTCAATAGATTTTCTTAAGACAAATATAAGATTTGCATTAAAGTTACTAAGTTTGGCCAAACCCGCAACTTGTATTCTAGCTTCGCCCCTGCCTGCAATTGGACCTGCTGTTGTTGATAAGTAGCATTGAGAAGCCTAACAATATGCCACTCGGATATATTATAGTGTTACCAGAACATAATGCACTTCGGAGGGAGGAGCAATATAATACCACTATAATATTACAACTTTGTAGTATCAAGAGACTACTACAATTTTGAAAGAAATAACACTCGTTATTTTAAACACTTCAGTACAATATTACTCACACTCACTATTTATCTCTCACACTACAATTTATGGATTACTCTCTCTAACTTCTATTGTTTTTCTCTGTTTTTGGTGTGTTTGAGATAGAATGAGAGACTCTCCTTTATAGGGAAAGTTGTTGCCCCAAACATCCAATGAAATTAGGCCTTTGCAATTGCAAAATACAAATTGCTCACAACAAATATTTTAAAAGGCGTGGGCGTAAGGCGATGCGTTTTACACATGCCTCAGTGAGGCGTAAGCCCCGAGGCATGGGATGTAAGTGTAAACCCCATAAATATTTAATTTTTAATATTTTATAAAATAACATAATTACAGTAAATATTAAACATGTAAAATTGCATAAAATGAAGAAAACTATATATATATATATATATNGCGCACACACACAAAAAAAAACTAGTCAAAATAATTTATTATACTCTACTTAGAAGCTCAAGTAACTTAAGTCGAAAAGAATAAAGTTTTCTACATTGAAGAACAAAAAGGAAGACTAACCTTCAATTTGAAGTTTGAACTTGGTGCTATGAAGTAGAATGGAGTTCTCTTTGTATTTGTAAAAAATAAATTGAATATTCGTTGCTTTTGTGAGATATTAGCAGACTACCAGATAAGATAAAGAATTGGAAAAGACCATGAATTGTGGCTTCAATCAATAGAAAAGGTCTTGACTTTTAAATTTAATACATTTCAGTTCCTTTTTAAAACTTTTGAGTAATTACCAAGCTGAATTTTAAAAATTTGGGTATTATATGAAGGGCTTATTCAATAAATTTTGTTTTAATTCGAAAAAATCTCTGGGGCTTACACCTCACTAAAAAAACTCGCCTCAAACGCCCGGGCGTACGCCCCGAATTGCTAGGGGTACGCCTCTTGAGACTTTCGCCCCACACCATATATCGCCCTAAGGCGTTTTTGGTGTGCCTCGCCCCGAAAACGTCTTTTAAAATACTGCTCACAACTTGTTTCAAGGAAGTCAGGCCCCCACAATTGCTTTTACTGATTCGACACATAAATATATTTTTGTTTAGAATCAGTAAAACCATTGGCATAACTGATTCATCACAAAAATAACAAAAGATAATCGGTTTATATGTCTATTGATATTGCATAACATCATCGTACGTAACCGGCAAAATAATTTAACTCCAGGGGCATATCTAGGGGGTTCCATAAGGCACGTGAACTCATGCTCCGCCCTAAATCATCTATAGTAATGTTATATTTTTTTCAAAAATATTTAAATATATGTGTGTGCACCTATGCTCAAAGTATTATATGATATGATGGTTATTGAGTGTACCTCTCTAGGTGATGTTGTGAGTTCAAATCTTATGTCAATCTTGTTATTTTTTTCCTTTTTTTCTAAAAGTAGACGCCCATGGGAGATAAGCATGTGTGGTGTTATTTTTTGCGTATTAATTAAGTACTTTTTATTTTTACTTATTTTTTATTTGGTTTATTTTTTCAAAATTTTCACACGTTGAAATTTCTATTCTTCTTTTGTTTGTGTAAAATCTTATATGATTAAAAAAATGGGTGCATTAAAACTAGAAGGACAAGGTTGTAGATACCCTTACCCAATAGTTTAATAACCCTAAATTTCCGACAAGACAAATCGACAAGGGACCACAAGCGAACAGAAATGAGTAAATAACGCCATTAAAAACTTCAACCAACATAAATAAAGTAACAAAAATGCATTAGAAGGACAATGTTGTAGATACCCAAAAATTCCAAACGCGAAAAAAATTCATACAAAATAGTAAAAAACTCACATTTGACTTTAGATATGGATCTTCAAGAGAATATTCATAATTCCTATGCAGATTTACTCCAACAATCGACTTCACACACAAGAATCGGGTCTAAACCATGAAAGAAGAGTGGAATGTTTTGCCGAAGAATAGTCGCTTGTTTTTAGTTAAATGGGTTATATGTATTATGGGTCGCGGGTCGGTTCAAGTATCTTTTTAAAGATTAATTTTAGGCTAAATACATATACAACCCATTCAACTTGGACCCATTTTTTATTTTGGCACTCTATCTCAACCTTGTTCTATTTTGACCTTTCAACTTTATTTCTTATGTTTCATTTTAACACAAAAGCTGATACTAGTACAAAAAAATATAGCGCGTGTGTATACACAAATCTGAAGTGTAATAAATATCCAATTAAATGTTGCTCATCCTTGTCCAACGGGTCAATACTTGTGATGACCCAAAATGTCATCTTTAAATTTAATAATTCATTATGTGTTGTGATTTCGTTTAACGGAAATTATTTAGAAGGAGAAAATGAAAAACTTCGATTGGCACGATGTGCAAATTACTTGTGATTCAAAACTGAGGACGAGATCCATGCATTTTAATATAAAGTGATATGTTTAAACCGAGCTACGAGCTGCGGTGGAAGTTATATAAGGACGAGATCCTTGTAAGGAAAAATTTTTTGTTTAAGTTCTCCCTTGTGAAATTAAATTTGTACTATAGTTGTAATGACCCAATTCGACTTTTAAAAATCCGTTCCCTGAAATAAAACTCACCGAACATGCTTTTATAAATTTATGACTCGCGGGGATAGTTGGTTCGGGATTTGGAAGTGTTTGGGTTGAAATCGGAACACTTGGTTCCTTAAGTTAACTTTAAATGGACAAGTTTGACTTCGGTCAACATTTTGAGAAAACGACCTCGGAATCGGGATTTGACGTTCCAATAGGTTCGTAGGATGATTTCGGACTTGGGCGTATGTTCGAATCGGGTTTTGGATAACCGAGGAGTATTTTGGCGCTTAATAGTGAAAATTAACTATTTGAAGGTTTAAAATTCTTTAAATTTTGTTTGGAGTAGGATTTTGAGTAATTGAAATCCGTTTGGAATTTCGAGTTTATGAATAGTTCCATATAGTGATTTAAGACTTACACGCAAATTTTCGTGTCATTCCGAGTAGTTTAAGTATATTTCGGCGCATTGGAAGTAAATTGAAGAACTTGAAATTCCTAAGTTTGAATCAATTTGGTTTAAGATATGATTCTTAAATTTGATGTTGTTTTATGCGTTCCGAGAGTTCGAGCGAGTCCGTTTTATGATTTCAAACCTGTTGGTATGTTCGGACGGGCCTCCGGGGGTCCCGAATGTTAACCGGACGAGGCTTGGACCAATTTTGGGAAATTTAGCAAGGACTGAAGCTCCTAGCTACTGTCATAAATCGCACATGTGCTTGGACAGCCGCAGGTGCGAGCCACCAATCGCAGGTGCGAACGAGAGAAACTTGCCCAGCCATCGCAGATGCGAAGCAATTGGCGCACCTGCGAACGCACAAGTGTGATGGCCTTGTGCGCAGAAGCGGAAAAATGCGCAGGTTTGAAGGGATGGGCGCACCTGCGCTTGCGCAAAAGCGAGCATTTCTTCCGCAGGTACGGAACCAGGAAAAGAAGGAAAATGCGCACCTGCGAGGAATTTCCGCATGTGCAAAAGTCGCATGTGCGGTACTCCTTCTGTAGGTGCGAAAAATCTGTCTGGGCAGAACCTTAAAACGGACGAAAACTCAATCCATTTCTTTCTATTTTTCATCCATTGTTGGGCGATTTCAGAGCTCTTTGTGAGGGGTTTTCAACTATCAACTTGGAGGTAAGTTAATTCTATACCCTTTGAGTTAAATACATAGATTATAAATAGATTATAACTAGTAAATCTTAGAAATCAAAGAGTTAGATGAAAAACCTAGATTTTTATAAAAAGGAGATTTTAACCACGAAAATAGTTATGGAATTGGGTAGAAATTATATATTTGAGTTCTTGAGATTATGGGCAACGTTTCCATCCGAAAATTTCCAGAATCCGGGCACGTGGGCCCGAGGTGAATTTTAGAAA